GTTCGACACTACTGTACCGATACTACTATGTCACCTCATTAATTGGCAAATGCACGCAGACACACTCCTCGCATAAAAATAACATACAAACGTAATCTGAGATATTGACATTATAATTTAGTGCCTCTTTGTTAAAATTATGGAAGGTTACTAAAGTAATAACGAAAAAGAATTATTACATGTTCATCATAAAGTCGCGAAATTCTTTTACAACAGAATACCCCACTTGCACAAATTTGCAGTGAATACATTAATACGCTCGTTACCAAAATCGACTTATCAAGTACAAGTATAAACGAAGCAAAATGAAACTTTGAATAATAATAGTTATGGTAAAATGAATAATAGTTATGGCAAAATGAAACTTTGAATAATAATAATGTGGTATACGGGTGAGACGCTGCACCGCTGTGACTTAGGTCCAGTATTTTTTAGGTAGAGATCCTAGAAATATAATCTCCGATGCCCTTTTTCCAGTACAGCTTGAGACAGTTGGAACCGACATTTTGCTGGAATAGACGTTACAAAAAATCAATTCAAATATCTCTATGTTAAAGACATTTAGTTCCATTCGACTGTTACAAAAGACCTATGACAAACAGACAGTAATAAAAAAAACTCATTTATTTTCTGTCAGTATAGTCCGGATTTGATCTATTGTCTGAATACTGCGCAATAATCCAACGTGAACACAAAAAATCTTGCTGTCATTAATGGCAGGTAACGATAAATAGTCAAATATCTCTGTGCAATACTGCCGTACTGTTATACTGCCGTATTTACATAAGCACTCGTCATAAAAGCCACAAACTTGCGTTATCTCTCGTGATTCGTGATTTCCTCTCACCAACGTGATTCTGTCAGGATAACGGACGGACCTAGACGCGACAAGACAGAAAATATAAAATTATACTGTAGTAGCAACTCTGTTAGCTGTCCATGGATATTGCCACAAACCGAAGGAAAACACATCATGCGTATATAGGCTTTAAATATATTTAATGATTGTCAAATTCTGACAAGTGATAGCTGTTTACAAGAAATAGAGATAGTTACTGTCACAGGTAAGTCAACACGCTGTACCTTGCTTTCCTCGATCAGGATTTCACTCGCTTTTGCACACAAGTTGACCTGCGCACCTCGTACCTTAACCTCAGCCTCCTTGATAATTTTACACTTCTTTAGCTGCTCGATTTGCCAATCCAAGTCGCTAGATTTGGCCATCATATGGTGCAAAGCTAAATCGATCGAGGTTCTCCGCCGGAGAGCGTAGCCGTTGTTAACGGTTCCTCACGTGCTCATACGAGACCTCGCTGTTTCGACTGATGCTTTAGGACCTGTAGAAGAGCAGTAAACCGTAGAATAGCTGGGTAAATCTAAGGTACAAACACTACAAACAGGTAATAGAATAAAGCATTAACAGAGAATTTACACGCTGCACATAGTACTTACGGATTGTCCTCGTCGTTGTCGTTCGTCTTCGTCGACCTCTGGTTTCACCGCCGTGATCGACACAATGAAACGAGCGAATCGTCGCCGAGTTTCTATTAATAATAAAACAATACGACCGGGAACTCTTGTAATGGCGGAATTATTCGCTGCATTCGCTTCAAATCGAGCTCCAAGTCGCTCGCAATCGGCGATACACACCAAATTGTTTAATATAAAGACGTAATTAGAACTTTCGAAGTAAAATGGGCTGCACGTGCACACGGAATGCGCAACTGAACACGGTAACGGTTACCGCGCGGCGACAGTTGGCGAACTTTGATTGGCTACCGCGTCGCTTCTTGCCGCGCGCAAGCGTGTTGCGTCCCATGTGTAGGAGCCAATA